TGGGGGAAGGGAGAATGGGGGAAAAGGTACAGGGAATAAGCAGCCTAAATATTAGGTACAAAATAGACTGGGGGAGGTTAAGAATAGCATAGGGAATGGAGAAGCCAAATAACTTTTTTGTACTACCCATGGACATGAACTAAGAGGGGAGGAATGCTGGTGGGACCGGGGGTGCAGGGCAGAGGTGAATAAAGGGGAGAATAAAATGGGACAACTGTAATAGCATAATCAATAAAATATATATTTTAAAAAAAAGTAGGGCATACATATAATGCAATATGATTCAGCCATAAAAAGGAATGAAATCTTGCCATCTGCAACAACATGGATGAACCTAGAGCGTACTGTCCTGAGTAAAATAAGTCAGACAGCCCTGGCTGGTGTAGCTCAATGGATTAAAGCATTGGCCTGTGCACCAAAGCACCAGTTCAGTTCCCACTCAGGGCACATGCCTGGGTTGCAGTCCAGGTCCCTGGTAGGGGGTGCATGAGAGGCAACCACACATTCATGTTTCTCTCCCTCTCTTTCTTCCTCCCTTTTCCTCTCTAAAAATATGTAAATAAAATCTTAAAAAAAATTAAAAAGAAATTTATTAAAGTTAATGAACAAATATAAGGGGGAATTTCAAATCAATTAAAATAATTACTAGGTAATTTTATTCACAATTGTAGCTAATTTTAAACATGGCTTTATTAGTTTCTGGTAAAAATAAAAATTTCTTACCATGAATCTGTTCACCTGTTTCAGCTGTCTTTACAAGCACACACACACTAAATATATGTTTACTACGCATATAATATGAATATACTACATATGAGAATACACTTATTAAACCAAAATCACTTTCATTTCACATTATAAAAAAAAGAGAATAGTAAAACTTTTAAAGTTTCTACAGAAAGAAGTTAAATAGAAAATACTGTTATTGACTACAGTTTTACTATAATAGAGAACTTGACATTGAAGAGAATATTCAATAATCTCTTAATAAAATGCTTCCTTAGAACAAATGAGTAATAATTTTTTTCTCAGGATTAAGGTGAAACATCAACTCATGATGGCTGTACTTCACAATTATTGTTTAATTTATTGCTATTTTCCAAAACAAACCCACTAATCCTCGTGAATCATCTCAATCTAGGAAGGGAAAAATTTTTTTCTAGTTCATTTCTCCATTAGGTTCTCTACATTCCTATGTCTCCTTCATGAGGATAAAAATAAGATATAAAAAACATTTAAAATGAAAGGCAAATATTTTAGACATAAGCATAAACTCAAAAGTTCCTGTTCTGAAGACCTGTACAATATTAATATATTTCTATAATCCTTTGTAGGGATAATAATTTAGACATAGAACAACTACTTCCTTACATACTAATGATCATATGCTTTGGAAAATCTTTTTTTATAGGAAATATTAAGTCATTGCAGTTGCCAAAATAATGGGCTTTATGTTGATATTTCTCAGCTCCTATTAATAAATCTGCTTTAGAATTTTTGGTAAAGTACATCTTTTTCTCCTCTATTTTTTTGAATAATCTCATTACAAATTGCAGTTCTTCCTCACACCCCCAAACCTCATTTCAAATTCTACTCCTTTCTCCGTATTTAAAAGTTGTTTCTGAATTTTATAAAATGTCTTAAGTCTCCTTTACAAAATATTGGTGGGGCAGAAGTAGGCTTACATTTATTCATACAATTAATACAATCATTAATAAATAATAATACAAGAATAAACTCTGTGTTTTGCATACTCTCACAACTGTAAACCTACTTTTGCCCCACCCTGTATGTACCAGGCCCTCTGTATTCATGATCTAATTTAATAGTACCTATGGGATAGATTTAAACATGAGTAAATTTAAGCTTAGCTTAAGTAAACTGTCCAAGGTCACAAAACTTAAATAAGGGGTAGGTTCAGAACATGAACCCAATCTATTCTAATCTATTCTAATAAAGTCTGTATTATATTGCTTTACATCGAAATACCACTTAGGTTTTATATACTTTCACATAGGTTATTTACAGTTTAATCTCATTGAATTTACAGTAACCTTGACAGTAAAGTTCCTAAGTATAAAAACTTTAATCCACACCTCCAACTTTACTTAAGAGCATGTAACTAAAGTAGCAGAGCTGAACGATGATCCTCTGACTTTTAGTCTAGGGCTGTATCACTCGTTGCCTGTACAAGCCACTTTTTCATTAAGTACAACTCACTCCTTTCCCCTTCCTTTCACTATCATCCAAATATATTGTGAAAATAAGGTGGCCAATGCATTGATAAAGTTCACCTGAGGTTTATATTTATTGTATTGACCATGACTCGGACGGTTATTATTACTGATTTATATTTGAAAGCTTATACTTAGTGCAAAACCTTAGAAGGAGCTATGGTTTGCAAGAGCTTTAGAGGTAGTTTAATTTCCTTGTCCAGTTGTCTAACACTCTTTCAATAAACAGTTCAGTGAGTAGCTATCATGTACTTCAGCATCCTGGTGCTTAAGACACACAGTAGAAACACTGTCCTTGAAGTGCTAGATTTACAGTTTACTAAGGAAAAGCCTAGGAAACAGTAACTAAACACAATGTGCTACAAGTGAAAATAGAGGAATAGAAAATATTATGTATTAGTGTATAATCTATAGGCTGTCTGCCCATTGGGAAAGAAAGCATTCTTGATGATGGTGATAACCTATGAAGGCAGTGAAACGTTAACACCTCAGAGTAAACACACAAGAGGTATTGGGGACTTTAACACAAAAATCCTTGTGTGCCATTTAATATTGGACTACAGCACAGTTCCCTAATGTATGTTAAGATTTCTACATGTGCCCTGGCTGGTGTGGCTCAGTGGATTGAGCGCCAGCCTGTGAATCAAAGGATTGCCGGTTCAATTCCCAGTCAGGGGGCATATGCCTGGGTTGTAGGCCAGGTCCCCAGCAGGGGGCACGCGAGAGGCAGTTACAGTGATGCTTCTCTCCCTCTCTTTCCCCTTCCCCTGTCTAAAAGTAAATACATATAACCTTTACATTAAAAAAATTTCTACATGCAATACTGAAAAACTGATAAAACTAGCCTAATGACTTCCAAGCTTCAAATTTCTTGTTTGGGTGTATAAATTGTGTATAATGTTAAGGATCTTCTTCATATTCAACTTTAATAGCAATTTAGTCACTAATTCCTGCTGTTAAACTTTCAGATTTCTTCAGTGCCCTAAGTCATTGCTTTCTTAAGTTCTCTAAAATTGGGCGAAGTAGTGAAGTAAAACTGCAGAGTCATTCAACCTCTTTCACACTGACATTTATACCCTAGTACTCACAGCTTTTCAGCTGGTTTTCTCTTTCCCATTTTGGTCTCGCCCAGACAGGACTGGTTTGAACCACTACCACACTTAAGGAATTTGTCTAATCTGGTGGAATGTTACAGCAGGAGGGGAAGTCTTGTTAAATTGCAATTACTCTAGAATTTAACTTTTTGTTTGCCTCGACAAAATAAGACCAGTTTATTGTAGAGAATTTGGAAGACAGAAAAACTAAATTAAGTCAGTCACATGTACCACTCAAAGATGATTCCATCTCTTTCATTTTTTCAGCTCTTTTTAACAGATTCTTCAATTATGTTGGTAAGAAAACTAAAAGATTTAACCATGAATATGATTTTTCACCTTAAATATTTACATTTCAAAATCAAAATTGTGATTTGTCGGGCCTTTCCATTTAAAAGAACCAAGAGACTTTCTAAGTTTGCAGTGCAAATAAAAGAGTTTAAACCCCAAACTGAAAAACACTCTTCCCTATAGCACATTGTTTGGGGTTAAAACATTGGTTACTACATTGCAAATGGAATGGGAGTACACTGGGTTGGGCAAAAACCTACACAAAACACTCTGTATTTTCACAACATACTATTCATCAATATCTGAAGAGGTCACTTGGAGTTTCAAAAACGGGGAAAGCTAAGGAGGGGCACAAGTGCTACTCAAAATGAATTTACCACTGGCCAAGGAATTGATTGGGAGTGGCAAGTGCGATTTTAGGGAAAAAGGGCAAAAGAAAATGTCAGAGGCATAAAACGCGAAGTCAGCAATATCTCCACTTACCCTTCTTTCCTTTAAATTTACGGTGAATTACATTTGGTTCCATTTTATTCCAGCCCAATTAGTTCCTGAAGAATTAGTTCCCTCTCTGTGAAACCTAATCACTTTCCCATAAACTAGCCAGTCTCCTGCAGATCACGACAACGTAACACCATCTTTCAACGCCTCCCCTCCCTTTCAATCGAAATTGTCGTATTTATACCTCCTGTTTTGAAGCTACTACATCTTTATGCTTTCAATTATCTTTTCCCTCACTGCACCATAAAATCAGAGAAAGGTAAAAGGCCCGCTTTTACGCTTTCAGTCTTATCCAAAGCATGTGAACATCCATAGAACACCTCTTGCAAGAAAATCAGTTAAACACTCAGAATTACTGAGAAAGCTCGTTCTGAAGCAGGCTTTACAGTGACTCCGCAGTGAGGGCCACAGCAGTGTCATTCCCTCCCAAGCCAGTCTCACCGGAGACGCCTCCGCCTCCGGGGTTTTTCTTACTTCATCTCTCCCCGGTACCAGGATGAAGGTAAAGACAGTGCAGAGCCTCTGACAAAGAATGGGCTTTGGGAATTGGAATCTAGAGGCTATTGCAGACCTCCAAGAACGGCTGAACTAATCCCACTACCAGAAGCCCAAAGACTCCAAATGGGGAACCGTAATAGCTGCACTCACCCCCAACCCTGGGAAAAGTAGATGTCTCAACCCCTACGTCGCAGGGGCGAAAACAGTTTGAGAGCGGAGAGGGGGGTGATCAGGAGAACTGGAGAAATGAGCTCCTTGCCGGTGCAGGATGACAGCGCGAATGAAGCCCTGGATAGCGGAGGTCACCATTCACACTCTCCCTTCTCTTTCTCCTCCCACCCCTTCTTTAACTCCCACCTGCCGCCGGTTACAATTCGCCGCTCACCTGACAGGGCGCGAGATGCAGAAACCGTGCAGACCGCGGACCCACAGACTCCGTCACTGAGGAATGGGAAGTCTTCCACCGCAAGGGCGGGCCTAGATGGTCACGTGACCCTGAGATCCGCCCTGCCGTCACCAGCTGGAGGCGGTACACCTTAGGGCCCTGTATTTTTGCAGATTGCTTGAACATTAATTTTGTTGCGATTAAATTTTAAGAAAAAAAAACTTTCATAAAGATTATGTTGCAAAGTGCAATGTAGAAGGAGTAGGTGGAACGGGTTAAAAATGCATTGCTAAGGAAGTGACACTAACGCCACGATCTACGGACCGGAAATGGCCAAAGAGTTCCGTCCCTCTGGCACCCGACTGTAAAATCCCAATCTTGAAGGTTTGAGGCAATCACATGATCTCAAAACTTGAAATATGGTGGACTGAAGCCAAGTTATACAGCCATTTGTTAATTACGTTTGTTTCTAAAGAAAAACCTTATTCACTGGAGTTTCCCACAGCGTTGTATAAATAACATACTTTATGAAATCTTATTACGAGAAAGGAGCGTTCGAAAGTCATCAGGAAGACTACCAACCGGGAAAACCAGGGTCAGGGAATATTGATTTTACTTAAGCGAGAGAGGCGAAGGAGGGGCGGAAAAATCCGGATTTTACCGCCAAGGCCTGCCGGGCTAGCCTCACAAGTAGCGTCGTCAGGGTTGGGAGGAGGAAGATGACGCCAGAGGGCATAGCCCAGTAGGAAGATGGAGATCCTAAAGTGTAGGGGGAAGGGTGCGCGGAGGCCAGCAGTGAGGCTGCGCGGGAAGCGGCCTACGCGCCGGCGCGTAGAGGGGGCGGGGTGAAAGGTCACAACGCGGCGGCGAGTCTGGCTGGCGGCGGCGGCGGGCGGGAGCCGAGTACCCCGTGTGCACGTGTGGAGAAGCGGCAGTACCAGCCCGCCGACTGGAGACGCTCCCGCTCCGTCCCGAGACGCAGAGCCGCGCTCCACTCTCGCGGCCTTCGTCACCAGCTCAGTTCCCTGCCCTAAGCTGGGAGGTCGGCTAGTAGGGTTGAGTGGCCCAAGCTGAGGACACTGAGAGCTCTCAGGTCGGAGACGACGACGGCGTTGATAGCGGTGGTAACAACGGCCTCAGCAGGAGGGGAAGATGAAAGGGTGAGGAAGGGAAGCCGGGCAGGGCCGGGCCGGCGGGAGAGAAAGATTGCGAAGGAGGGGAGAGACGGGCCGAAGACCCGGGGAGGGAGATTTCTGGGTTTCTCAGCTCACTGAGGGGGCGGAGGCTCGGCTCGGGCTCGTAGCGCGCTAAAGGGCCAGCAGAGGCAAGATCCGGGCAACCCAGGTTCTCGGCCCACAGGACGAATGTGTGTTGACTGGAGTATAGTAACTGAGTGTGGCAACCGGGAAAGCTCTTGTGAGGTGACTGCGGTCTTTAACCCAGAAACGGAGGATAGAGACATCCCCAGCCCGCCTCTCGGAGTGGGGTGGTCTCAGTGTCCCCTTCAGACCCAGGCTCCACACTGGGAGCCTTGGTGTTTGTCATCTTTCAGTTTTATTCACAATTAAGAGTTATGCAGGACCTTGTGGAGGAAGGACTTGGAATAAAGAGGAGGGAGACGAGTATTTAGAGCTAGTGACTCAACTGGATTTGGGTTGGGTCAGACCGAGTGGGGGGCGGGGGAAGAGAGCGTGAGCACTGTAGACTTGGGGTGCCAAAATGTTTAAGGAACTATTGTTGATCAGTAGGTGGAGCTGTTGCTCCAGTAGTTTAGTATTGCCCCTGTACTGTGGGGGTCCTTAGTTACTCCGACACTTTCTGTAGATGATTGGCAGAGTCTTAGTATTATTTCATAGTTTCTCTCTTGGATACAATTAGGGATTATTTTGGTTCGACTGTTTTCATTTGGATAAGATAATCACCTACTATTAAATTACATACTGTTAAAATGGTAATTACATAATACGGTGTGTTAAAATATTGCCTAAATTGACCGTTTGAGAGCTTGTATTTACTCTCAGAGGAAGAAATGGAATCTTTCTCAATGTTAAAAGCTTTTCTGTGATTCCTGAGTTTTCTATTATAGCAAGTCAGTTAAAGAATTGTAACTATGTTTTGAGTTAGTGAAGCCTTTCCAAGTATTCAGCAACCCTTTTGAGGATGAAATAGAAGTCAGTATTGTAAGTAATCTGCCTAAAACAAGGGACTAAATGTTATCTCGGCGCGTTTCTGTATTTGAGGTTGCAGAAGAGGTCCAAGAGTTTAATTTGGCCTTAGCTCTATAACGTGATTCTTTACTCCAATTTTGTTTTAAATATTGGAAATTCATATGTCTTGTAATTAAACTTTAAAAATCACAAAGAAATTTTCCTGTTTCACATCCGGTTCTAAAGCGTTCCACTCAGGATACCAGTTGGAGGGGTATGAGAAGTATTTACTGCATTTGAATTATGATGTAGGAAGTTTGGGTATCTTCGATATCCGATATAATTGGGCGAGATTTTTCTTTTTTTCTTGAGTATGGATGCTGTTTTCTACTCATTTTTGTATTTTCTTGGGCATTCAATACTTATTTGTCTTGTTCTGTTAAAATATTAATAATAAAAATGAGGCTGAGGAAGAGTTCCCAGTGTTGAGACTGTGCACGGATTTATAAAAGAAGACCTCCAAGAAATTGTTCTATATATTTGGTTCCACTCACACTAAGGTGTAATGTTTTGATACTCAACTTGGCAGTAGAAATGGGTCAAACAGTGGTATTAATCACAGTCTATCTTCAGTTAATATATGAGTGAGACAATTATTTTTTATTGGTAACAACCTGATGGAGTGAAATTTAAAGGAACTGGCCAAATTTAGAGGAAGTTTTTTAGTTATTGAATCTGTATCTTGTGCCATCAACTGTGCCTGAAATGAAGAGTCCTTAAGTCTAGTTCGTGTTATATATGATTGGGAGCTTAAAATCATCGTTTTAACGATAAACTTTGAAGTTGATTTCATAGGAATAGTCCCGTTAACGTCACAGATGAAATAACTCCCAGGTAAGATGGGACTTAAACATTTTTTTTCTTTTTTTTATTTTTTACTTCTGAGTCTTGTATTTAAGCCACTGAACAAATGAAGACAATAGACATTGTTTAAAATATTTTAAGGTCCTCAAGTTCACAGACTTCTATGAACATGCACCATGTGGTCAGTGTTAAAAGGTCTGGGAAATGAAACAGTGGTCCTGATTTGATTATATGATTTTTGTATGAAATTTTACTTGCTGAAGTGTTTTATTGTATATGGAAACTAGTTGAACTGCTAAGTTGAATAGAAATACATAAAATTGGAAACAGGTGCAGAACTTCCCTAAATCAATTCGTTTAAATATTTTACATCACTGCCTATATTGCATATCATTTTGAAACTTTAGTTACTATTTTACCTTTCTTCCTATATTATTTAGTTTTTATTAATAGAAGTAGGACATTCCATTATGTTGACATGTATTTGCCTTTTCTCCATAGTACATACACTTGCAGTTAACTACTGCATGTATTTGTATCGATGATCTAGGAATTCTAGGTATGTTACGGTATGTTACTTTTGTATTGAGGTTGCTTGTTGTTATGAACCAGCAATGTTGTAGGTTGAATTTGTCGTTGGTAAATTGATTTTTTTTTTTTAACCTGTTGTTCCTCTTAGGGTAGGTGAAGTTTAAGCATGAGGGTGTGCCATACACAGACATGACTGAGATGGCAGTGTAATTGGTCGATATAATAGAAAGTAAAACTGAACCTATTTACCCTTTATCTGTAGTAAAGAGGTGTAGTAAAAATTAGTTCTAATAAAACGTCTAACAGGATGTGAATACATGTGCACAAACTAAAGAAGGAAAGTTGCCCTGAGCACTGTGGCTCAGTTGGTTGGGTATCGTCCCGCAAAGTCAAGGTCACTGGTTTGATTACCAGTCACGGCACATGCCTGGGTTGTGGGTTCAGTCTAAAAGATACACCTCAATTATTTAAATGTTTGTCCTTTTTTCTTTTCTTTTTCTAAAGCATAGTCTGCAGAAACCATTAAAATACCAGTACTGACTAATAGAAACTCCCTTTCTATTACAACAATGAGAATTGTGTGTATTATAGTTTAATAACTACAGAATTATATAATTTGTCTATCAGAGAACACTGCTTTCTCTTGACCTGTTCTCCATCATATCCTGTTTGCATTTTTTCAGTGCCTAACTTTGTGGCAAAAGGTTAGGCCTGTCCTCTTCAATACAATAGTGCCCAGTTATATTTGAGTAGTTGAAATGTGGCTTGTATTACTGAAAAATTGGATTTTAAATTTTAATTAAAATTTTAATTTAAAAAAAGTGATATTCAGAGTTGGGTGTGTGGATCTATTATAGATTTTATGAAATGAAAATACAGATCAGATATTTCCAATGAAAATAATGTGTGAATAGAGATGTGCTAGAAACGTTATCTGCTGGATTTTAAGACTTCATACAAAAAAAAGATTTCAGAAAAAGTAAAATAGACAATAGTAATAATTGCTATTTTGATTATGTGTTGAAATGATTTCACCTTTTTTTTTTTTTAAGATTTTATTTATTTACTTTTAGAAAGAAAGGAAGGGAGGGAGAGAGGGAGGGAAACAGGAATGTGTGGCTGCCTCTCAAGCGCCCCCTACTAGGGGCCTGGCTTACAACCCAGGCGTGTGCCCTGACTGGGAATCAAAGCAGTGACCTTTTGCTTTGTGGTACAACACCCAACCAACTGAGCTACACCTGTCAGGGCTTATTGATCATTACTATCTGCCATGACTACTGTGCCACTTATGTCACATGTTTGCCATCCCTGGTCTCTGTCACTTCTAACTTTCTATTGGGTTGCCCAAAAAATTTATTTAGTTTTTTCTATACAGTGACTCTAGTAGTGCTTAGTTGCTTTTAATTTCATTTGAAACAATTTTGCTAAGTGGTATTGTGACAGCTGTCATATCAGTGTGCATTTATTTAAAAACTTAAAATTGGTGAATTTTTGTGCAGCCATTTTAATATTGAAGATGAAAGAAAATATGTTTTCAGCACATTATGCTTTGTTATTTCAAGAAAGGTAAAAATGCAAATAAATGCAAAAAACAATGTATGGAGAAGGTGCTGTGACTGATCAAGCATGTCAAAAGTGATTTGCAAAGTTTCTTGTACTATTGATATTTTGGCCAAGTAGTTCTTTCCTCTGGAGCTCTCTTATGCATTGGAAGATGTTTAGCAGCACTCCTGGTAGCACCTAACTAGAAGCCAATAGTGGAAGATAGCTGACATACTCAAAATATCCAAATCAATAAAGTTATTGGTGAAAATGAAAAATGTCTTTTCAGAAGAAACTAAACACACTTTTTGGTCAGCCCAATGTGATACCAAGAAACAGAACTTTAGAATCATGTTTGAATTGTGATTTTTTAAAGCTGTTGTCTTCATTTTGCTCTTGTGTCTGCCTTTTGAGACTTGCTCTCCCATCCCTCCCCCTCATGGCACGGTTACTCTTTGTAGCAATTCACATGTCCTCACTTTTAAACACCTGCTGTAAGTATAGTATATATAGTCTAATAAAAAAAAGTTAGGGAGGTGAACCAAGAAGGAAAGAGATGGTTGATTCTGGGATTTTTGAGTAGTTTTCTATGGCCAAAAAACGGGGAAGGAGAGAGGAGAAGTTAGGCCAGTGGCCACAGCTAGGAGATGAAAGGACTCTTTTCAAGTTCATTTGTTAGGTTGTGTGTAGGCTTTGAAGAATTTTATAACTAGAGAAGTAAAGTCTCGGATTTGTATTTTTAGAAAAATATTCTGACTGCATTGTGATGACTTTTTCTCCTTAGCTTTGTTCTTACTACCCTTCATTAGGCTGTAGATTTTGGATTGAAATGATGGCCTGAACCATACTGCTCAAAAGCTATAGGCACAGATTATGAGCTATAGGCACAGGTTATGAAGCAGACTTAACGGATTAAAATGGGACATAAGAGTACAACTAAAATTAAATTTTCTGTATTTGATGAATGGTGGAGCTATTAATAAAGATAGCAGTTACAGGTAGATTTTTAAATTTTGTATAGAGAATGGTGCATTCAGATTTTGATATGTTGCATTTGAGATTCTTGTGGAGACAAC